TTTTTTTTCAAAATTAAAAAAAAATTATTCTTAAATAACTAAAGAAAAATTTTTTGAAAGAGTTTACTAAGGGCTTGTTAGGCTTTCACTTGGTTTTTAAATCAATGAGATCCGATAATTTTTAACAAAGTTATTGGAATTCAAACTTACGGACAGCGGAAGGCGGGTGTTTTTTGAAAACGACCCAAATATTAGCATTCCAAAGTTACAAAAATGTATTAATTCATTTAATACCTCTAATGAACTTAATGTAAAACTAGACAAATGACTATTATGATCTATTATGCTAATTTACCGAAATAGAACCTTTTAGTTTTCATGGAAAAAAGAAATTAAGGTCATCACGCTAGCAATGTAATTATTCCCTGCCGATAGAGATGTCTTAATAATGGCTGGCCTCAATAAGCGGTAAACTGTCCGCACGTCATTCCTTCTCAAAGGCTGTTTGGAAACTTAATAGATAGAGCCTCTTAATAGCTAAAATGTATTGGGTTTTCTAACGCGTTTTAAATGACCCTTTAACTAATATAACTAATTACTGATAAAGACTTTATGAAAAAAAAAATGGCGGCTCGTCAGGGTAGGCCTCTGAGGCCGCGCCTCCTCCTCAAAATGAAGGAACCTATTACAAATGTACTTTAACTACAGTTCTACACAATAAAAAGTAAAAAATCAATCAATCATTCTATAAGCATAAATGGTAAATTAAAATCCACGCTCCCACTACAGCGTGGAGAGTCGACCGAACAGAGGCGAAATATTCTTCTTTTCTTAGTATCATAAGAAAGTTAAATATAATTATTACAACCAAACTTACCTTTAATTAATACATTGTCCACACCTGTCGTTTAATATTTCTTCTATTTTATTTATACATTTTAGCACTTTCACATCGCGTCAAAGCCTTTCTATACAAAAAAGGCTTGTTTAGTACATCGAAACGCTTTTTTTAGGATGAAATCAGAACAAAAACTGATAAAAGTCATGTTTCAATGAATTTAGGTCTATAATTGCAAAAAATGCACATATTATGCAAGGGTTTTTAATTTAAATACTTAAGCAGTAAATTTATGATTTAAAATGGTACTTTTTATGTAAATTCTTAATAATTTAAATTTAAAATTAAAAAAGAGTAATTTTTATTAAACTACTTAAGAAGTAAAATTTTAAGTTTATACTTTTATGATGAGTTATTTTACAACTTAAGAAAATGGTACCTTTCATTTAAATAATTAAGGATGAAAATTTCAATATTTAAAAGCATACAACTTTACTAAATTAAGAAAAAGAGTACTTTTATTTGACTACGTAAAGAGTGACATTTCAAGTCTAAAAAGTACTTATCAACTTTATAAAGAGCGAATTTACGACTTAAGAAAAGAAAACTTGTTATTTAAAACTTAAAGAGTGGAGTTTAAAAAAATTCACCTTGTTTTAGTGAATTTTGTTCTTTTTTTATTTGTTTTCATTTAAAAAAGAGTATTTTAAAATTATATTTTACTTTTGAGGACGGATTTCACTCTTCTGGTTTAAGAGTGTGCTTACCAGCAAAAAACATAAACTATTTACCCACTAATATATCAGGCGAGTTCGCGTTTATTCGTTGCTGCTTGAGGCGGGAGAATTGGAGCTTGGGCTTGCTCTAATTGGTGCTTTTATATCACATGACTGAATATGTGGTGGGTGGCAGTTTGTGTTGCAGTGTGTGTGGAGCGTGTGTTTTTGTCTCGATTAGTAAAATATATTATTTTATTATTGTGGTGCACAGGGATACATACACGCTACACAGGTAGAATTAGCATGCAGTTTTTATTAAGCAAAAAGTCGTATTTAGTTTCAATTAAGGTTAGGTTTTTAAAATACCGGTTTGTTTTTATATAAAAAAACTGAAATATTTAACTATTATATATATTCTACCTGTGTAGCGTGTATGTATCCCCGTGCACCACAATAATAAAATAATAAATTTTACTAATCGAGGCAAAAACACCCGTTCTAACTATAGTTAAATATTTCAGTTTTTTTTTTAATAAATCCTGTTTATGACATTATTCTCTTAATAACCTGTGTCTACATCATTGAACAATTTTGACAAAAGTTACTTGCTTCAAGTAATGAGTATATTTTTTTTGATGGACTACCAAATGGTAACTTAAAAGTGTTCTAGCTCTGGAACTATTCAGTTTTTAAGAATGTGCCAATGGTAACTTCTGATCAGTGGGTCATGTTCTAAAATATAGAGTAAAGTAAAGACACTTTATAGTTATTGGACAATTAACATTAATATTGTAAAAACAAGAGTTCTATAAATAGTTACCTTAAAGTCAAATCATAAGATGACGCTGTATACAATTATAACTATCGCAGTCGGTAATAATATAGAACTACTTTATTTTGGGTCCAATATAGGATAAAAAAGTTCGCACGTTACTTTGGTGGATTTTTGCACAGCAGGGCTGTGTTTAAATTACAATAAAAAATATTTCTAAAAAGTGTACAGATCAGCACTTTAATGCGTTTTAATTTTAATTCTGAAACAGCTGTTGACGAGAATTATTAGTGGCTGCTTTTTCGCTATGACATTTTTGTCTAATTCATTTTTAGAGAGAAAGTAATATAGTGATTTCTTCGTCACAGAACATCTTGCAGAATAAAAGTGATTTAAATACAGTGCATGATTGAGAACATAAAAAACTAATGGCAACAAAGTTAATAAATTCGGAAAATACCTTTATTATGCCACCCGAAAAAATATTAGATATAAGTATATATAAATCATCCTGTTCCGTCCTAAACATTATAATAATAATAATAATAATAATAATAATAATAATAATAATAATAATATCGTTTATTTTCAAAAATTTGCACATTAAATTACAAGAAAAAACACAATAATATGTACAAAAAAGAAAAAAGTCAAAAAATATATAAATACTTTCAATGTGAAAACAAATCATGAAAGGAGTACCTATGGCTCCAGATCACAAAAATAGTTAAACAATTCCTTCTTAAGGAAATTTAGGTTGTTAATTTCCTTCATATTAGCAGGTAGACTATTAAATACTTTTATACATGCATAAAAACAGCCTTTTTCGTATATTGATAACCTATGATAAGGGTAATAAAAATAATTGTGTCTTGTGCTTAAAGATTTTAGATCTTGAAATAAAAATTTATTTTTTTACATAAATAAGACAAGTTCACAAGCATAAAGACCATAAATGGTTAAGATTTTGTTTGTTTTAAAAATACCTCTGCATGATTCCATGTGTCCTAGTTCCAACATTGTGCGCAAGACCTTTTTTTGTATTACAAAAATATCTCCAACGTTAGTACTTTGGCCCCAGAAAATGATAGCATATCTCAACAAGGATTGAATATTTGCAAAATACAATGTTTTTAAGGTTTGAAAGTCTACATACGATCGAATTACTCTAAAGGAGTAATATGTTTTATAAAGTTTTTTGCAAAGTTGTTCAACATGTACCTTCCAGTTTAAATTTTCATCAATGTGAACTCCCAAAAACTTTGTATTTTTTGCTAAATCAATGGTTGTGTCAAACACTTTTATTGTATTTATACTTTCAAACCTTGACTTTATATTATTAAAATAAATGCTTCACAAACTAGAGATAGCACACTTAATGATATTTGCAACAAACTATTTCAGTCAGAGCAAGGAATTAGTAGTTACCTGCAGAATCCAGAAAAGGGATGTGGAATCCGAGAAAGAAATATATGAATTATATGATATTTACAAAAACGAAATAAATAAAATTACCTAAAGCAGCAATTTATCTTTAACAATTTATGTTATTTGATGTAAAGTTGTTATGTTCATATAAAAATTGTATGTCCAATAACTATGGTCCATGTGTCCAATTACTATATAAAATGTCCAATTACTATACTTTTTTGCATGTTTTTATAAAACCATTATTAAAAATTCAAATATTCTAATTTTTAAGTAGGTAAACATAAATTAAGTTTAAACAAACAAACTATCCTTTATAATATAATATTATATATTTATAAGAAAAAAACTAAAATTTTTAAAACAACGGCATATATAAATTTTAAATAAATAATATTCCCTAAGTGTCCAATAACTATTAGAGCCTTTTAATTTTAAGTTTAAATATGAAAAATTAATTAATTTTTTAAGAACTTTTATAAATAATTAATAAAGCTTAATTAAAGTTTTAAAATCCTAAATTAATGGTGAGAAGAATAAATAAGCATTATACATTCATATTATAAATTAAAATTTTTGACCTATTAATAAAACTAAATCCTGATTTTAAATTAGTACCTACTAAATATTAATATATATTAATTAATATTACCCATTAACTAAGCAAACTAAAAATATCCTATTAAAATTTTCAAACAAAAGTTTAGTGTTTATAAAACTTTTGCTAGTTTTACAATTTAAAATAAGTAATGAAAAGTGTTAACTATCAAGTTTGTCCTGGTTGTTAATACATTACATTCCTAAGCGTGCCTAAGCACTTTACAACGCATAGAATACCGGCTAATTATACATTTAAAACTTTTTAAATTTTGCTTTGTTTACAAACATTTATTTAAAAGTAAATTTAAGTTTTTGAGACTTATTGAATAATTTTAATAAAACTTTACTTTAAACTAAAATGAGGACATCTAAATGAACTTTTCTTCAAGTTACTAATACTTCTTGAAAGCCTTTACCGAACACTAAAGGAAAACCTTTTTTTTACATCTCGAGCAAATATTTTTCTAGACGATTACGAAACAACTTCAGTTTTCTTTAGATTTTTCCTGCAATTATACAACAAGTTCCTTTCCCAGTTTCTGCATAATACTATTTGCTTTGAGTTTCACTTTTGTTTCCTTTAAGGATTAACGTCTACACTGGCACCATGGGAAAAATGGTGTGTTTATTTATATAACACAGACATAATTTAAACAAAACACAACATGTTTGTTCTTTGTATAAACGCAGTTTATTTTCGCAGGTCCATGTGACTTCGGAGCTTCGACAATGTGGCAACCGAGCAGCGAGGCCTCGATGTCAAGTTTCGCATTTCTTATTATCACCCTCAGCTGTTGCAGCAAGCTACTAGATGCAATCGACACAAGTAAGTTATGAATAATTAAAATTAATATTTCATGATCATTTTAACACCAAATTAACACCATACATGGTCTATTTCGATACAAACCAAAATAGTGTTAAATATGGTTCGTTGGTCCAGTGTAAATTCAAATACTAAAATAGTGTAAATTTAACTTTCACACAGTTTTAAAATAAATATTACCTGGTGTAAATTGAACTCCTTTTCAGTGTTAAATATTATGTGTTTTTGGTTAAATTAAAATCATACTACACAGAAAAAAAAGGAAACAGGAAGTTTCTTGACGCATTACTAGTATATTACGAGTGGTATTATTCCAGAAAATTGAACCTTCAACTCGCTAGAGATAATGTTTTTAGTGCGTTCAACCAACTTAAAATCCTTCAAGTATTGACAGCTGTTTCCACCTATTTAAGGTCTCTTTAGTATCGAACAACTGGTAGTGTCACACCAAAGCAAAGGACTACCTGAGCTTATATACTCTTCATGTAATTCAACAGAGGCGAGATTTAAGAACATCACGTGATCCACACCGCCTTTGCCGCGATCGGTACATACTATGCAACCAGGAATGCACGGCAAATTGTTTTAATCGTTTTAACAGAGTGCTTTAGGTTGAAGTAACTCTTATTTTACAAACAACATATTAAGTAAACTGAACCATACAGCGGGTTGGTTTCACTAAAGTTTTCTGGGTTAATTTAACCAATTTAAAAAAAAAATAACTATCTGGTTTAGTACCGTCAAACTAATCTTTGTTTATATTAACCTTCCCACAGTTGATTTAAATAAATACTTAGGGGTCAATTAAATGAATATAGTTAAATGAACTATTCATTATTTTCTGTATAGGTGCACTTCTCAAATATTTTTAGATAAACACCGTTTTGGTGTTTGCTGTATATAACATTTTCAACCATAATGCATGGTGTTTATATTAACACTACTTGGTGTTGGATTTTAAGATTACTCTTTACACCACAGATATTTTAAACAGTGTAGTGTCTAAAAATAAAACTTTACAAAATTTAAGGTAACAATGGAATCTTCATTATCATTTTGCATTGTTTAGCATTTAAATCCGTTAAAAAAGGGCTGTTGTATCGCACAGGCTCGATTAATTTTGCTTAGTTGTTCGAAATCGTATTAAAAAATTGAAATAAAGTAATCATATATGCATTAACGTTGTTCTAGAATACCTTCATAAATCATGTTTTGTGCTACGCACCAACAAGGTTAAAAGTAATAAAAATACGCGGAGATTTTTGAGCGCTTTTTCGTGCATATCAACTTAATGAACATTGTTTCGAGATTTAAATTTGCTTTTGTAATAAAGCATTTTTTGTTGCCGCATAACATGTTTGTGCAAAATTAGGTTTTATTGAAAAATTCCTTAAACAACCTTAGGTTGACATAATTCAGCCTTTTATGTTTTTAATATTTATTGCATGATAAAAATATTTCCCGTGTTTTTTTTTCTTTGATATACCCACGACCAATATTATATGGAACCCAGTAATTGCGAGAAACAGTATTTAACTTTATTGAATTGAAAATAAAAAGCACCTTTTCCTAACCAATTTTATTAAAAAATATATATATTAAAACAAGTTCTATATTAAAGAAATAATAAAAAATGTGAATTTCTCTGAAAATGAACTTTTCGGTAAATTAGAATTTAAAAAGAAATAAAAGGATTTTTTTAATTAAATAATCAGTATTGCCACATCTAGCATCAATGCAAGGCATACTTTATTAAGTTATAAATTTCTTCTTGAAAACATTTCTTCACCCATCTAACATCTAAAACTGCTTTTATTACTTTCTCTACATTTCCAGATTTAGTTTGGTACATTTCTGGAATCTTTGGAAATTAATAAACTAAAGAAAAACCAACCTTTGCCAAATTTATTTTAGAATGTATACATGTAGTACTAAAAATAATATTTATTAATATTGATAAATTATATTAGATAGGACTTTCCAAATCCATAGTTTTTTCAAAATTGTGTAAGTTTTATTATTTTTTTTTATTTTCAGGTATAATGTTTATACATTAGCTAATATAAATACCGCCACTTATTAAAATATGTACTAATTCTGAAGAAGCTACTGTGTAGTGAAACAAATGTTAATTATTTAAAAAACATAAAATAGTGGAACTTTAAAATAGTGTTGTTTTCATTCATATATTAATAATATGGAGTTTCATCAAGTAAAGGTCCAAACAATCAACAATTTAAAAACCTATTATTTCTTCCTAAATTCTAATTTACTGTAATGTTTATTTTCAGAAAAATTCACATTTTTTGTAATTTGTTCTTAAGAAAATTTGTTTTAATAAATTTTTCTTAATTTTTGTAATAAAATTGGTTTAGAGGAAGTGCATTTTATTTTATTTTTTTTACCCTTACTTCCTAAGAAGTCCAAGAAGCCATATCACTTTTTTTAAGTGAAATAATGTCTCTAGTAATTAAAAATTCCAGTAAAAAAATTGTTCGGCCGCGTATTTAAACAATTAGCAGACACAAAAGAAGGTAAAAAGAGAAGCGTCAAAAATATTATAGTCCCGCGGGATACCGTTATTCACCTTTATCTGGCAATTAGGAGATTTTAACACTTTAATCTTTCGCCACTCTTTTTAATTATGAATGGATAATGAGCCGGGAAATTTTTCCTTAATTTCGTTTCTCTTTGTTTATTAATCTTGTTTACACCTTTTAATGTTTGTTTATATGGACATTTTTTTAATTCCTTCCCCACTATATTTTCTTTTAAAAAGGTAAACATATAATTTCTTAAAGTTACTAAATTATTATAATCATAGAAGTGAATAATCTATTTGGTGCAACTAAAAATTCAAAAATTCTGCTCACACAACCTTTTGAACATTGACAAGTTGTGCCTTTATGCCGTTTTAGTCACGTGCTGAAGTTAGCAACAGGTTTTTAGTAACAGGATGAAGTTAGTTTTAAGTTAGTTGACAGTTGTCAAATGTCATACAATCGTTAAAATAAAGTTTCCTTTTTGTAAAATAGTAATGTGGAAATTATTTTATTATCTTATACATATTTAAAAAGTTTATATGCAAGTTTGTAAATGTGTAAATTTAGATTTACACATACAATTTGACATTTTGACTTCTAGACACTTGCTTGTGCCTAAATTAATTAAATTCGTTACTAAAATGGCGTTTTTCAAACTTGATACGATTTTATATAATTTATATAATTTTCGATATGTATTCCAATTTATAAACCATTATTTAGAGTATCCAGGTAAATAATTAAAACCATTTAAATCGTTTCCATAAATAGTTTATTAAATGATTTGTATATTATTTCCGTATTTATGGTTGTATGCACGAAACATAGTTAAAATCAGTTGTCTAGCAAAGGTTTGTAAAATATAAATTATTTAATGTTAATTAATATAACTTTAATATTTGACATTTTTATAATAGTACCAAACTAAAGAATTTTCTTTAAATTAAAAAAAATATATTTCACCGAAAAAAGTTCAATTTAAAATTTTTTTGTATTTAGGTTTGATAAACGAATTTAATTTGGGCACGAGCGAGCTTGGGAGCGAGTGCTTAAATTAATGAGTGTATAGAAAAGTTTATATACTTTTTCTAGGACAAAATTTGTATTTAATACTTATTTAAATCAAAAATTTGTATGGAGAGCCATCTATGAAACAATAGGGGAATCTGTGTCACCGTCAAATGTCAAATTTTATAAACACAGATTATAAAGGTTATAAATCGAAATGTATGTCTTGAAAATTGACAGTTTTTCACAGTAAAAGTAAAGAACATGTTTTATGAGGACTTTACAGTGGAGTCCGTACCCGAATTTAAGTTATAGTTTACTGCCGGCGAAATTAAAAGGTCAGTACAATGTTCATATAAACTTTTCAAATATTGGCGCTGAGAAACTATTTAATACTTTTGTATTTTTGTATTAAGATAATAAAATAATTTTCACATTTAGTAATATTTTACAAGAAAGGCACTTTATTTTAACGATTGAATGACATTTGACAACTGTCAACTAACTTAAAACTCAGCCCGTGACTAAAGCGCCATAGAGCCACAACTTGTCAATGTGTATTTAAAAGGTCACTTAGTGTCATGGAAACATGCACTATAAAGGGCGTTTTAAAGGTGTGAGTGGAAAAAATATTTTTTTAAAGTTCGTCATTCTTTGTTTTTATTTTTTTTTTTTAAATTTGTTCTGTTTAATGGCGTAATTTCCTTAATATCTGTTTTTTTTAATTGACAAATGTTTTTTAGATTTTAATAATGTTTTGATATTTTATAGTTTTTATTAATAGTAAATTATGTATCAAGTTTGATAAAGGCCAATTTATACATTTAATTTAGGCACGAGCGAGCTGGCGAGCGAGTGCTTAAATTAATGAGTGTATAAAAAAGTTTATAAACGAGGTGCATAGTATACTTTTTCTACGACAAATACTTATTATTATCTAAAAATGAATTAAACCAAAAATTTGTATAGAGCACCATCTATGAAACAATACGGGAATCTGTGTGTCACCGTCAAACACAGATTATAAAGGTTATAAATCGAAAAGTATTTCTTGAAAATTGACAGTTTTTCACAGAAAAAGTAAAGAAAATGATTTATGAGCACTTTACAGTAGAGTCCGTGCCCGAATTTAAGTTATAGTTTGCCGACGAAATTAAAAAACAGTACAATGTTCATATAAACTTTTCAAATATTGGCGTTGAGAAACTATTTAATACTTTTGTATTTTTGTATTGAGATAATAAAATAATTTTCACATTTAGTATTATTTTACAAGAAAGGCACTTTATTTTAACGATTGTATGACATTTGACAACTGTCAACTAACTTAAAACTAACTTTAGCCCGTGACTAAAAACCTGTTGCTATCTTCAGCCCGTGACTAAAGCGCCGTAAAGCCACAACTTGTCAATGTGTATTTAAAAGGTCACTTAATGTCTTGGGAATATG